TAATGATGTCTATATCATGGTTTAATTTATGAATAAAGTTTAACAAGGCAACTTTCTCGTAAAGATGTTAAGTAAGAATGGTAAACGTTTCGGTTCTTGACTTCCAGGGTCAGAGGCGAATTGACGCAGACTAGTACTTCCTGGTGTACTGCCAAATACGAAGCAAAAAGAGCCGAAAACATGAGACCGGACTTCAGTCTTCAGTCTGTTCGGATTCTGCCGATTCAGATTGTAAGGATTCTGCTGGATGCACTGGAACTCTCAGCAATTTTTGCCGTTCATTCAACATAGCATTACTGTTGACACATCGACTGATGGTTTCTGAAAGTGACGCGGAAAGTCTGTCATATCCCAATTTTAGAGCGACTAGTGGAAGACTATCCGGTTCTGCAGCAGCTACAAATCTAATTCCCTTGAGGCAAGTCCAGACCTCAGATTTAGCAAACATAATGTTCAGATAGGCTTCGACTTATTTTGCAGCAGCGCTAAGAGGAACATCAACTGGGGGCTATCCAACGTTCCAAACCACAAGAAAAAGTAATTCAGGGTGTTAGAGTTTAATTCCCTAGAGCAACGATGTTTCAGCGGTGGCAGATTTTCCTGGTCGCCTGCTATTTTCCCGGCTCTACCTGAATCTTATCAGGGTCGTTGCCTATATTAAAAACCCTAACAATCGAAAAATGCCGCTCACGATTACTGAAGAAAAGGGAAATGCGATATCCATTGCAACCAACTGACGTGAAACTGCTCGGACTGCAGATATTATAGAATCAATCAGAGTTCTGGCATAATAAAGACAATGACGGTATTCCAGAAGGCAGAAGCACTGCAAAAATCGTTACAGCATTTTAATGGCCTCATGCGACTGCTGATCACTTAATTTTTACCTCGTCTTCCGCCATCGCAATCAAACACTTTTGCAAGAACTGTTTCGTAATGCCTTTATCCGAGCATGAGTTGAGCACCTAAAATTCGGCAGAAATCAATACAAGATGAGAAACAAACACAGGATAACGCGTACCTCATAAAACGATACGCTGATTTCACCGCCACCGTCACCTTGGCTTTCCGCTTTCGCGTCGTATACTTTCAAAATGGACGCAAAAACATTAGCAAATTCCTAAATGTGACCTTACACTAAATGAATGCTCGAAAACAGATAAGAAAGGAAGGGGGTCTAGTAAGAAAACAGTGCAGCGTCAACGCTAAAAAGGAACGTAACTTCTATCTGAACGCCTGGCTTTCGAAACTTGCGAAAACATTAACAAAAGGCAGAAGAAACTTTTCTGAAACCTTTCGAAACGTACTTTCATTAATTGATCTGAAAAGCGTAGTAGCCTTAAACATAGTTAATGATATTACAGACGTAGGCTCTTTCCTTTGAAGGCCAGGTGATCTTTTAATCATGTCACCGCTCTATGGCCCATTACCGGAAGTCTACAGCAAAAAAAAGCTGTGGGAAAGCTACGACGCAGAACATTCAGAGAAAACGTGAATATCTCAAGCCATAACATCGTGTCAAGTAGACGGTAACAGCCATTATAAAGGCCTAGTCTTGTATTGCAATAATCGCACT